AAAACTGTCACTGTTTGCAGGTGACATGATACACTACCTAGAAAAACCTAAAGATGCCACCAGAAAACTACTAGAGCTAATCAATGAATCTGGTAAATTTGCAGGATACAAAATTAATGCACAGATATATCTTGCATTCCTATACACTAACAACGAAAGATCAGAAAGTGAAATTAAGGAAACAATCCCATTCACCACTGCAACAAAAAGAATAAAATACCTAGGAATAAACCTACCTAAGAAGGTAAAAGACCTGTACTCAGAAAACTATAAGACACTGATGAAAGAAATCAAAGGTGACACAAACAGATGGAGAGATACCTGGAGAGATACCTTCTTGGATTGGAAGACTCAGTATTGTGAAAATGACTATACTACCCAAAGCAATCTACAGATTCAATGCAATCCCTAGCAAATTACCAATGGCATTTTTTACAGAACTAGAACAAAACATCTTAAAATTTGTATGGAGACACAAAATAACCCACATATCCAAAGTAATCTTGAGGGGAAAAAAAAAAAACGGAGCTGGGGGAATCAGACTCCCTGACTTCAGACTATACCAAAAAGCTACAGTAATCAAGACAGTACGGTGCTGGCACAAAAACAGACATATAGATCAATGGAACAGGATAGAAAGCTCGTGCAGCTCAATAGTCAAAAAACAAACAACCCAATCCCAAAATGGGCAGAAGACCTAAATAGACATCTCTCCAAAGAAGACCTACAGATGGCCAAGAGGCACATGAAAAGCTCCTCAACATCACTAATTATTAGAGAAATGCAAATCAAAACTACAATGAGGTAATCACCTCACACTAGTTAGAATGGGTATCATCAGAAAATCTACAAACAACAATTGCTGGGGAGATGTGGAGAAAAGGGAACCCTCTTGCACTGTTGGTGGGAATGTAAATTGATACAGCCACTATGGAGAACAGTATGGAGGGTCCTTAAAAAACTAAAAATATAATTACCATATGACCCAGCAATCCCACTATATACCCAGAGAAAACCATAATTCAATAAACACATGCACCGCAATGTTCACTGCAGCACTATTTACAATAGCCAGGTCATGGAAGCAACCTAAAGCCCATCAACAGATGAATGGATAAAGAAGATGTGGTACATATATACAATGGAATATTACTCAGCCATAAAAAGGCACGAAATTGGGTCATTTGTGGAGATGTGGATGGACCCAGAGACTGTCATACAGAGTGAAGTAAGTCGGAAAGTGAAAAACACATATCTTTTATTAGCGGATATATGTGGAATCTGGAAAAATGGTATAGATGAACCGGTTTGCAAGGCAGAAATAGAGACACAGATGTAGAGAACAAATGTATGGACACCGAGTGGGGAAAGCAGGGGGGGAGTGGGGGGGTGGGATGAATTGGGATTGACATATATCATATAATTGACACTAATATGTATAAAATAGATAACTAATAAGAGTCTGCTGTAGAAATAAATAAAATTTGAAAGTAGAAAAAAAAGGCTTCTCCAACCACTGGGGCCAAAAACCTCCTGAAGGACTAACTCAGAACCACCTCTGCTCCTCCCAACCAACATCTCAGTCCTAGGTCAGCCGAAAGGTATTTCCCGTCAACCCTCCAGAAGCCAAGGGAGCATGGAGTTTCAATGGAAAACAGAAAGTGAGTACTGGCAAAGAGGGAAGGTTGACAGCCTGCTACCTGGCTGAAGACTTGCAGAGTCAGGTACCTAGAGACCAACCTGATGCCTGCCTTCAAAGTGCAGTGAGCCCCGTGGGAGAGTCTGGGGGAGAATTTGACTTGTGTCCTTTGGAATTTGGGAACATATGTGAACACCAAGAATTGTGCCTGCTTCTTTTCTGGAGATTTTGAAGGAAGAGGACTTACTGTCTGAGCCCAGGAAAGTGGAACAAAAAGAGACCATGTTATAGGGAACTTAAGAAGAAGGTGAGAAAACCTCCAACCCATTCCAGGTCTCCTCGTCTTTCAGAGGGTACAGACGAGAACTACCATATTTGACACCATATGAAGGAATATAAAGAAGAGAGGAGAAATGGTTGGGATGTGGACCAAAGGCAAGACTACAGGAAGACATGGGTGCCCCCTCTGCAGGTGACCCAAGGTGAAGCTAAACAACTCTAAAAATTGCACAAAGTTATGAGGAGACCACCACATCCTCAAAGAATACCAGCAGCAACAGAATCATGTAGTCTTGTGGGGAGGGGCACTCTTCATCTCCAGTAAGCAACCCCTGCCATCTCTCATATTCCTCCTCCCCAACAAAGGAGTTAGATGCTAGTAGAGGGAACTGAGAGGATTACATTTGAATCAGATTTGAGATTGGATTTTTACACTGGAGTGAAATTAGTCTGGTTCTGCTTTGTTTTTTTAATAACTGAAAGTGATGAGAAAGTTGTGGAATGTACCCAAGAAATTGTCTTGGGAGATTCTATATAGCACTATCGGGAATTGTGATTGGGGAAAAATAAAAACATTACTGTGTTAATATGCACAATGTAGAGTCTACTCAATAAACTGTTTGCATGAAAATGTTGACTTCTGAAAGCAAGCTGGGAGGGGTTGTTATAGGGGGGAAAGGAGGTTACGCATTGTCTCAAAAATAATGAATAAAAAGAACAAAGATAAAAAAGAAGTCAATTCTTTTTTTTTTTTTAAAGTCAATTCTTAAATGTAGGGTTTATGGAAGGAGATTTTAAAAGAATAAAAAATCATATAAATTTATTTTATCATATAAGTTGAAGACACATACTTACTTATGTCTTTTCCAAAAGGAGACATTTTTAGTAAAACCAACTTTGGATTTGTATTGACTTTAAAGTTTTCAATGCACTGCTTTGTACTTTAACTTATGAGCAAGAGACCAAACTCTCATTATGCACTTTCCTTTCCACAGTACACCTGACAGACCTGAACCACAGAAAATGTTCAAGCCATGACTTTCAAATCAATCTATCACCTTCTACCCAGTTCTCCCCTTTGCTGTCATATCTTGGTCATTGTTACACAGTCACAAAAGACTTGGGGAAAAGGAGATATCTTTAATTATTTTTACTATGTACATTTATTATTTTTGTGATTAAGAAAAATAAAAGTAAAAAAAACAAGGATTAGTATTTTATTCATCATCTTCCCTTCTGTATCAAATCATGCTTTATCCTGCGTAAATTCAATACCACACATGCAATCTACTAGTGCTGAACATCTTTTGTTTTTGCCGGCATAGCATCCATTCTCCTCCTTCTCTTAACAGCACCTTTGTTTTCTTTTGAGGAACTACCCCTATCCCATTTCAGGCAGTCTTGGTAGAACCCTCAACCACCTAGCTGACCCAAGCAAAGCCATGAAACTTTAACCTTTCCCTCAGTATTTGAATCCTGAGCAGTAACATAAGAATAAATGATGATAGAGCAGATTCATCCCCATAGTGATCATCTGAAGAGGCTTCCTAAAACCTCTAACACCAAAGCTGCATGCTTCCTGTATCTTTGAGGCATGATTGTTCAGCCTGATTTTAAATTCTGTGAGTTACTCAATATACATATAATAAATCCTTTCCCTTCCCACCTCTACACACATACCTTTAAGTTAGACAGAGTTGGTTTCTTACTGTTTGGGACCAAATCACACAAGGACCTTGGGATAGGCATGACCCATCTACTGTCCCTATTCCAGAACCCTCCTTTCTTTCCTTACTTTTCTAACAGTTTAAAGAACTATTCATTTCAGGATAAAGAAGATGTGGTAATATATATACAATGGACTATTACTCAGCCATAAAAAAGAATGAAATAATGCCATTTGCAGCAACATGGATGGGCCTAGAGATTATCATACCAAATGAAGTAAGTCAAACAGAGAAAGACAAATATCATATGATATCGCTTGTATGTGGAATCTAAAATGATGATACAAATGAACTTATTTACAAAACAGAAATAGACTCACAGACACAGAAAATACACTTATGGTTACCAAAGGGAAAAGAGAGGGAGGGATAAATTAAAAGAGCTTTGGATTAAAATATACACACTATTGTATATAAAATAGATAACCAACAAGGACATACTTGTTGCACAGGGAACTATACTCAGTATCTTATAATCACATATAATGGAAAAGAATCTAAATATACATAATTATATATATAATTGAATCACTTTGCTGTACACCTGAAACTAACACAGCATTGTAAATCAACTACACTTCAATAAATTTTTCTTTACAAAAGAACTATTCAACATTCAATATTCATTTCCTTCATGTCAACCTCTCTCTAGCCAATATCCTCAACTTACTTGCACCATGTCTTTCTATTTAACTGTTTGCCTGATAAAAACTGCCTTCTCCACTCCTAGTGCTGGGACTGCTGGAGAAAATACTGCAACCGTTTGGGTTAGTGTCTTCACTCATTTTCAGTTTCTATTTTCAGTTAGATTTTCCATGCCACACAGAAATCTTCCTGTGTTTTTGCTCATTTCACTTCTCATTTTCCACAGTGATTTTAGAACCTTCTCCACTCTCCTCAAATCTCCAAGTAAATGACTCCTTCTCAAGAATGTCCATACAGAGAAAGTAAAAGCCATAGGATGGAAATTTACTCCTCTCCCAGGCAGGAAACTCTCAAACAAACCTGTATTAAACCCATTCTTCCCTCCTGGTCTCTGCTGGAGTGGGAACATGGTCTTTTCTCATACTTAAAACTAATCCTTAGGATTATGCTCTTAGATCCCATTCTTTTCTACCTTCTGAGAGAAGCAGCTTTATCAATTATCTCTGTCTCTTCTATTGATATATCTTTAAACTTACCCTCCAGATGGGCATCTTATAAAAAAACAATTCTTTCCTGAATGAGTCACCTTTTAGCTACTGCCCTTTCTCTTCTCATTCACAACTAAATTAAAGTAGTTGTATATCTGCCCTGCTTGTGGAAGGAAGGGCCCAGGAAGAAGAAACAATGGCAGCATGCGAGTCAGAGCCCACCTGATACAGGGTGAAGACAGCATCACAGAAAGGTCAGTCCAGTGTGGAGAGGCCCAGCCGGAGTAGGGTGAGGATACATCCATGTAGAGGGGCAGTCTGATGTGGATAACAGAGCCCACACAGGAGAAAAGTGCATCTATATGGGAGAAGGGATGGCAGTGGAAAGGAGAGATTGATTACATACAGGGAGATTGGCTAAACAAGTAAATCTAATAAGGCCAAAGGGAGCCAGGTTTCTCAGCATCAAAAAAGGGGGTAGGGCTTCCCTGGGGGCGCAGTGGTTGAGAGTCCACCTGCTGATGCAGGGGACACGAGTTCGTGCCCCGGTCCTGGAAGATCCCACATGCCGCAGAGCGGCTGGGCCCATGAGCCATGGCCACTGAGCCTGCGCGTCTGGAGCCTGTGCTCCACAACGGGAGGGGCCACAACAGTGAGAGGCCCGCGTACCGCAAAAAAAAAAAAAAGGGGGGGTAACATATATGTAAAGGAAGAAAATTAGAAGAAACTCTGAGGTACTAGATTAGAACTAATGGTATCAGTGTACATTCATGGCCAGATAGATAGATATAATGCAAAGGTGTATACATACATTCATATATACATGCATATATGTCCTAGCTCTCTTCACTGAGCCTTCAAGAACCATACTCCAAAAGCAAAGAGCACACCTAGTGCCCAGATCCTGTCTTCTAAATATTATTCGCCACTAAAAAGACTCAGGTCTAAAATGGCTGATTCCAGGGCTAGGGTAGGGAAAGTACAAGATAAACTTGTTAATATCTTGTACCAGAAAGAAAGAAAGTAGTCAAAAAGTGATGGAAACATGTCAAGAGACACACAAGCTACCTGGAAGGGGTTTCCTGTAGCTAAATTGGGCACAATTTGAACATCAAGATAAATAATGATAGCAATGAATTAAGGCCCAATAGTAGTACAAATAAATAAATGAGTATACTGAAAGTTTGATTAGGAATGATATACTTGCAGTCTCAAAGAACTTCCCTGCAAAATACTTACTAGTTACCAAAAAAAAAAAAAAAACTTCATTGTTAAGAATCTTGACAGACACATCCTTAATCAAGTGACCATTAGTAATGGGACAAATCAAAATTGTATGTCATCTAATAGGGTTCAATGAGAAGAAAACATCATCACTTTCGAGGTATTCCTGTCAAAATCTAATAATTTAGCTTTCTTCAGCTGAGCCAGAGAACACAGTGACTATTTCCTCAACTCTCTCAAGAATGCTTCATAACTAATACTGTTTTAGGTGTACTGAGAGAAGTTAATTTTTTCATACAATAGATGCTTTAGGATGTTAGGGTTTCATTCCCTTCCAGAACCCAGGCTGGAAAAGGCCCAGAGGTATAGTCCATAAAACAACCGATCTGTAATCTTCAAAATGTCAAGGTCATTAAAAACCAGGAAAGATTGTTTTGCTGCTCCCAACTGAAGGAGACTAAAGAGGCATGATAACTATATGCAGCAGGTGATTCTGAACTGTATCCTTTTGCTCTAAAGGATAGTATTAAGACAACAAACTTGATTGGGATTTGTGGAGTAGATGGTAGTCATGTATAATGTCAATGACCTGATTTCCACGGTTGTGTTATGTTTATGTAGGCAAATGTCCTTATTTATAGGAATACACAGTAAAGTATTCAGGGGTAGTGGAGCAGCATACTGGCAAATTACTTCCAAATGGTTCAGGAAAAAAAGTCTTTGTACTTTTTTATGCCTGGAAATTTTCTATCAATTTTTAATTGTTTCAGAATTATAAAAATCAAAAAAATTTTAAATGAACAAATATGAAACTGAACAAATACAAATTCACTATCATCCTCACTCCTTCTCATGTTCCTCATCTCAGTGAATTCCTGGTTTGCCCAAACAGGTTTTGTTCATTTCTGTTGTACCAACACAGACATTATTGGCCTCCTTTTCACTCTCAAGTGTCCCAACCAGGACAATCATAATATAAATGTTCTCACTGTAAGGTTCTGAAAATCTGGCCTCTGTTTACTTCTCTAGCTTGATCATTAAGCACTCCCCCAATTTCCCTCTCCTCGCTAGTGAATCTCAACTCTTTTGGGAAAGCTCTGCCTGAACACTGGATCAGGCTTCACTATATTTGCTAGATGCTCCCTAACGCTATACTAATCCTACTAGTAACTCTGTCTATTGCATACATATCTCTATTGTAACTATTTGTTTATATTTCCTCTTAAACTGCATTTCTGTACAGATAACTCTGCCACTCAGGGTGTGACCTTGAACAAGTTACTCAACCTTTCTAAGCCTCAATTTCCTCATCTGTAAAACAAGGATAACTGTATTGTTGTTAAGATCAAATGATATAAAGCGCATGAAGAGCTTAGCCCACCACCTTCATCATTTTATGTTTTAAGAATTATGTAAATAGTCAAACGTATTTTTTCTCTCTAGAGCTCCTTAGCTGTCTTCTTTTCATACCTAATCTTTTTATGTACCCTATTTATCAAGCAAGTAAAGATTGTTTCTTCTTAACACAAATATCACAAGTCTCTATGATAGAGTTTTTTTTTTTTTTTTTTAATTTTGGCTGCGTTGGGTCTTCTTTGCTGCGTGCAGGCTAGAGTTCTTTTTAATTTTATTTACTTTTTTAAAGAAAACACATGTTCTTACAGAAAGTTATCTTCTGGGAAATAATACCAGAAACTATTAGCTCTGCTCAGGCAATGGGATATTTCTTTCCTTCCTTTCTAGTGAATAAACACATGTAAGTCCCCACGGCAAATTCTACATATATATAGTATAGCAAATATAGTGTGTGTGTGTGTGTGTGTGTGTGTGTGTATATATATATATATATATATACACAAATATATAAATATATATATAAGAAAATACACTTTTAACATATTACAAAACAATGAGTGCCAAATATATAAATTTGTGGAAAACAATGTTTTCAATCACTTAAAGAGTTGTTTATTAATAACTAAACATTGTTTTGGGAAAGAAAGCCCTCTTGTAAAAAAGAATAACAATTCAACAGTAACAATTAATGAGTCCTACATTGACAGACTGGACATTGAATATAATATATTTAAAGCTCTTTGGAGTCTCATAATTGTGAAGAAAAATATGTGGGTATTTTGAAGCTCTCTACCTTATATTGTGTTTCGTCTTCCAGAAGTGAAAATTCAGAATTACATGATTGTATATTTCTACTCACTGACTACACTTTCTCTAAATTTAACTATCATTGTTTTATCTTTGTTAATTATATGATTTAATCATAGATCCCCTTTGCTTAGTAAAGCATATAAATACACTAACCACATCCCTAAAGCTTTTCTTTTCATTATTAAAGAAAAAGTAATTCATATTTTCAGAGTTAAATTTATACAAACAAATTTAATCCACAGTACTAACCATTGCTCATGCTTTGTGATATCTTGCAAGCATCTAGAATGTTACATCTCAAGTCATAAATGCATAAAAATCTGCTTCTCCACAGCAAAAATTGCACTATTTTCCACCTAATTGTTTCATTATTTTTAAAAATAAAAACATACTTAAAAATATAGGTGACCCTTGAGCAACATGGGTTTGAACTGCATGGATATGGGGATTTTTTTCCACTAAATACATACTAGAGTACTAGGCTATCCAAGGTTGCCTAGGGTTGGTTGAATCAGAGGTTGCAGGACCTTGGATTCGGAGGAACCTGGGAAATGGAGGGCTGACTATAAAGTTATACACGGATTATATGCACAGGGGAGGGGGAAGGTTGGTGCCTATAACCCTCAAGTTGGTCAAGAGTCAACAATGTATGTAGTCATTTTAAAATAATATATATTTTTAATGACCAGGGTTTCACATACCAGACTGATGAATTTACCAAACGTATGAATGAAGAAGTGTTTGTCTTCAGAAATGTTTTTAGTGATTTTATTTCTAAGAGAGATATCACCGATACATAATCTAAATATATGTAGCAAATAAAATATTACATAATTGAAATCTTTGAAATAAACCTATTACCTACTTGCAAATCTGTTCAGAATACTTTATTAAATGTCAGCTGTGAAACACTGTTAAAATACAGATAAACAATATTACAAGTTTCATTTAACTTCCCAAATTCTTACAGTCTTGTATTTTGCTCTCTGCTGTGGCACACAACCGGATTTTTCCTAAGCAATCAAAAGCAGGCTGGAAGACTCTTTGTTCATCAGTTGTAAACAATATACCAAATGTAATATAAGTAGAAAAATGCCCAAAGAGGATATATGAATTTTAATATGATTATTACTTTATAACCATAAAACTTTAGCAAATAGTAATCCTTATTTGCTTTAACTAGTATTGGATAATACATCATGATGGTGACCTTGTGGCAATCGGCATACTTTTATAAAATGATGGTTTGAAACTTAAATCTTATTTTTAATTCTTCAGTCTCATGTGGTCCTCTGGGAAAACGTCCCATAAGATTCTACAATCTTACAGGGGCTTCCCTGGTGGCGCAGTGGTTGAGAGTCCGCCTGCCAGTGCAGGGGACACGGGTTCGAGCCCTGGTCTGGGAAGATCCCACATGCCGTGGAGCAAATAAGCCCGTGAGCCATAACTGCTGAGCCTGAGTGCCACGACTACTTGAGGCCCGCGCACTCAGAGCCTGCGCTCCGCAACGGGAGAAGCCACGGCAATGAGAGGCCCGCGCACCTCAACGAGGAGTGGCCCCCGCTCACCGCAACTGGAGAAAAGCCTGTGCGCAGCGGCGAAGACCCAACACAGCCAAAAATAAATAAATATAATAAATAAATTTAAATAAATAAGTAAAAATCAAGCTGTAAATTTACAATTTGTGCACTTTACTATGTGTATGTTAAAAAAAAAGATTCTACAATCTTACAATGGAAAATTGCTTAAAGGTAACACTCCATTATCAATATATCACATATCAATAAATACTTATTGAGCGTGTATTATTTGCCAGGCACTACACTAAGTGCTGGAAATATAAAAATGATTAACGCTTGAGCACTAGATAAGATATGGAGACTGCCCTTGAGAGGCTTGGAGTATTATGCAAGAGGCAATTAATGTACAAACTATATAAAAGATTGTTAAGGAACAGGGTCTTAAAAGGTGCTGTGTACAAAGAAGAGAAATATATAATCCAAACTAGGGGAGGAAAGGATGGTTACAGGAGCCTTCTTGGAGGAGTTATTAACAAATAAGCCTACTGACTTGCTTGCAGTATGGCCTAATGATTTAAGAGCACAGGTTCAAATCCTAGCACCACCTTTTACCAACTGTATACGTTTGGACAACTTACTTCATCATCCCAAGCTTGTTTCCTTGTTTACAAAATGGATATAATAGTATTCACTTCATTGGGCTGTTAAGAGGACTAAATAAGATAAGAGTAGAAACACCAAATAAGAGTAGAAAGCACAATGGCTGCTGTAAGATATGCTAGTATTCTGGTTGTTATAATGATGATCTCTTTCTCACATATACACCCCACTCAGTGAACCTGGTAGTTTCTGGACTTCTTGGCCAATGTATGCATGTGCCACACAGCTATAAAAGAAAAAACTGCTCCATCCTCACCCCCATCTTCTGTTATCATCCAGGCTTCCCAGTCCCCTGAAAAGTCTGCTTGACTTGCTGTCATTACCAGACATGCCTGCGCCATGCCCATTCGTTGAACGTGAGTCTGACCACAGAGGCATCTCTGGACTACCTGTCCACCACCACTCTCCTCTCATCCTTCACTGTCCCCCATATCCACCAAGAGACAGATCTCTTGGCTTTCAGCCCCACACTAGTCTCTGATGGGTCTTTCTTACCAGTGTTTTGGTGATTTTTATGCATTTCACTTAATCAGCTTTGCCCTCTAACTATTGGCCACCACTGTCTCCAAGCCAGTGGCCAACATTTAATTTCATTTGGAGTTACCATCATTGCAGAGACAGAAAAAAAAAAAAAAAATATATATATATATATATATATATATATATGATTAGAACAAAATCATCAAGCTTTGTGAGGTTGAGAAAAGCTAGTGCTAGAAAAAGAATAACATTTGGGTCTTTTGTTCTTTCCTACTTTATCCTCTTTAGGATCATGACTCTATTTTACAATCCAGTGTTTGCCTGCAATAATCTCCCACTGGCTAGTTTTCTATCAAGTGACCCTTTCTGAAAGGTTTTCTCCCTCCTATTCATTTGCAGAAAGACCTATGGGAGGGGCAGGGCTCAACTCAATTTCTTCTTACACATTCACCTTTCTGAGGGCTTTTACCAAGTTTCACCAAAACAGATTCAAATGATAGCAATAAATAATAATAATAATAAATGACAAATTAAAGTTAAAAGATGTTTCCCTATTCAAGTGGCTCACTGGTAGAACTAAGTGTTCCTTATTTCTAAGAGTGCAAAAGATATGATTTGGACATTATAAGTATTGGGTAAAAGGGCATCTACTCTAGCTTCCAAATTCTGTTTTTAACACATACCTTACAAAATTGTTTTGGCTTTATCTAAGCACTACTCCCACTTTCTAAAAACCAAGACACACTGTATTATTTTAATTTGTAAATTATTCATGATTTAATTCTGTTCTTCACTTTGGATACTTTGCTTTATACATCTTCACGACAGCATGTGTACCTCCCTGCCAACAAAATCCTTCATATATGTTTCAAAGTCCAAAATATTAAAGCATTAAATTTCTTTCAATCAGATTCTCTGCAGCAAAATAATTTGAAACTCTTACATGACCACAAAATGTTATAGCAAGTTGAGGAAGAAAATTTTAGTTGCCTCATGTTTCCACTGAAATGTATTAAGAAGTTTATACAAGAACTACAAAGATGTTTATGTTACAAAAACGACAAATATAAAGCTAATTGCTGATGATCCACATATGAATTTACTATGTCATAGACTGAAACTGTGATTTTAAGGTTTGGCTATCACCTAACCTGTTCCATAATCCTGAAACAAGGTCATTTGAAATTCGTAAAATTCTGGAGACAGTGAGTCCTCAGCAAACTTTTAAACTTAAATTGCCCCTCCTCCTTACAGCTTTTCACATGAAACACTTCCTTCATCATAGCTACTTCTTCAGTGTGGTAGCAAGTAAAATTCCCCAACAACAGAAATGAAAGTAACATGAAAACTGAGCTGATTACAGATGGGTGAGGAGCAAGAATTCTCTCTTACAATTTTTAAATTACGATATTAATAATAATTAACCACAATAAATAAAACTAACCTTAGATGGCAGACCTTTGTAAAATGCTTCCATTAAACAGTATTGAAAAGGTAGTGGCAGTGAGTAACAAGTTTTGGGTTTTTTAAATCATTCATAATGATCCTCAACATCAAAAGAAAAAATGTAGATGACTGGAAGGGTAAAATTCTCCAAGTAAGATATTGAACATGAAATTCCAGTTAGCCAAATATGAGTTTTATGTAAAAAACTGAGAACTCGTTCCTTTCAATTATACTTTGCCACTAAAACCCAATATCCATCAGAAAATATGAGTTATTATAATTAGAATTCTTTTACCTTCATTACATAATGCTGTGCCTGGTCAAAAATCATAAAATAGTTCAGAAAAGAAATTCAGCATTTCTGATCCTTCTTGTAGGCCTGATGCCACTTTGAGCCTGGATGAATAAAGTTTTTCAACTCATCTAACTTAGCAGGGCCTAAGTGTTACAAATTAATTAAAGAGACTATACCTTTGGAGCTACTAATCAAATCTGTTGTCAAAATAGCCTACTGGACTCAACAACGAGAAAACAAACAACCCGATTAAAAAATGGGCAGAGGGTCTGAATAGACATTTTTCCGAAGAAGACATACAGATGGCCAACAGGCAGATAATTTCCTAATTATCAGGAAACGCAAACAAAAACCACAATGAGATCTCACCTCACGCCTGTTAGCATGGCTACTATCAAAGAGACAAGAAATGACAAATGTTGGAGAGAATGCAAAGAAAAAGGAACCCTCATACATTGTTGGTGGAACTGTAAATTGGTGCAGCCACAGTGGAAACCAGTAGGGAGATTCCTCAAAAAATTAAGAACTACCATATGACCCAGCTATTCCATGTCTGTGTATTTACTCGAAGCACACGGAACCACTAATTTGAAAAGATACGTGCACCCTCATATTCACTGCAGAATTGTTTATAATTGCCAAAATATGGATACAACTTAAGTGTCCATAGATGGATGAATGGATAAAGGTGCGTTATATATACAAAGCGGATTATTACTTGGTTATAAAAAGAGAAGGAAATCCTGCCATCCGCAACGACATGAATGGACCCGGACAGCATTATGCTAAGTGAAATAAGTCAAATGGAGAAAGACAAATACCTTATGATTTCACTCATATGTGGAATCTAAAAAGACAAAACAAGTGAACAAACAAAATAAAATAAAAATAAACTCATAGATACAGAGATCAGCTTAGTGGTTACCAGAGGGAAAGGGGGTTTGGAGGGTGGGTGAAAATGGGGAAGGGGATGGTGGTGAATGGCAATTAGACTTGTGGTAGTGATCACTTTGTCGTGTGTACAGGTGTCAAATTATAATGCTATACACCTAAAGCTTATGTAATTTTTTTAAAGTTTAAAAAGTGTACTTGATAAGAAGCACTATCATTGCTTAACTGGTAATGCTTTTCTTTCTTAGTTGTACATCTAGATGGAAATGTACCAAAATGTTAACAGTGGCATCTCCGGGTGAATAGTAGAATTACGAATGATTTTATATTAAATCGAAAATCAAAAATAAGAAGATTAAATGGCATTCACATAACACATACCACACTATTTAACGATGGAAAACAGAAACCAAATTTGGTACTGAATTTTATCACAAAATCCACAAGACATTAAAACATGTATTAAGTACAAAGAATGTAACAAACATATATAAAATTAACATAAAAAACAAATCTTACTCATTTTGCTAATACTATGTATAGCAAATCTTACCTCTAATCTCCACATCAAAGTCAAATTTGCTGCATCTTGAAGATGTTAGAGTTGAGCCAGAGTTGCAAAATCTTGAAAGGCAGAGTTAAGACTTAAAAAACAAACAAACAAAACCTCCCTTAGTTCTACAGCACTCAAGCCTGTCAGGTGTTAGTTAAAATAAGGAGTAAGCATGGATTTCATATTTTTCCTTAAGAAATAGGTTTCGACTGCTGATACAGTTTTTCTTACAACCACAAAGCAAAACTTTCAGTTGAGATGGATTGTTGGGTTTTTTTTAATGATACTGAGCATTTTGATATAATGTGAAAAACTCCAGACTTGGCAGTAATTTTGACATGTTGCCTCAGTATTATATACCGTGATAGCAATTATCATTTGTCTGTTTTTGACAGAGTTCTTGAGATTGAGTTTAAACCTTTATACAGTAAGGTGGAACAGCCATGGAGTTTAAAATCCAAGAAACAAATACCATAAGAAGAGCTTCCCATATAAGTTCTGAAGCAGCTATAAAAAGGGGAGGGAACTGGTTACTCTGCCTAGTCAGAGTTTTATTCAGTTGTGCCAGAAGGAGGGAGACAACACAGCCTTGGGATACTGTTCTGGGCACGGAAAGCAGCTTGTAACTGCATGTTGGCAAGGGGGAGACAGGCTAACAAAGGGGACAGAAGATGTACTTGACAGTAGAGAGGGTTAGCAGATGAGTAGGAGGAGATGGCATATGAGACGTAGGCTGGGGTGTGGTAGGAAAGAGCCTTGGTGGTAAAGATGAACAGCTTCAATTTCACGCAAAATACAATAAAGGCCCAGTAAAGCAAGTCCAGAAGCCGCAAATAATGGCTACAGTACAGCATTTCAAGCTGTTTACAGGGTAGATATTTAGATAAGGAGTCTTGAAAAGGGGAGGTTATAAAAGTCATGAGAGAAAACATTCAAAACTTAGTCCAAGTGTTTTCATGGAAATGAAAACACAAGCAGGGATTTAGAGGTGCCAGAGTTGGTTGTTTGTTTCTGATGTTTTCATAGTTTGAATAAATAGGAGGAGGAAAACAAAATGAAGCAAGTAAACTCAAGTTTAGGTGTTTAAGAAATAGTCACATGACTGAATCCAAAGAGAAGAAAGGTGATAATTAGGGTAAGTGAGAAGGATCTTAAGTAAAAATTATAGGGGATAAGAATTTCTTGGCAACTTGTCAGTTACTAAAGTGTTTAGGAAGACATTGTAAAAAAAAAAATAAAGAGAAGTAGAAAAATAAATAATGATAATGATTTATAATATCCTAAAGGGTTCAAAGAGAAGGAATAATGTAATAGAGTGACAGGGTTGAATCATTTAATGTGCTTAAACAATTTTCCAAACTACGAGTAAATCTCAAGTTTTTGGTTAAATGGAATTCTAGTTTGATTTAAACAGCTGATTCTTATTTTTTCAAAAATAAGTTATATTCCGACTGGAGAGATTTTACTAAAAATTCTGAAGAATTCAGCAATTGTTCACTAGCCCTTAATAATTTAAAACAGCTTTGGTAATAAAGGCATCATTGTGAACTGTGCTTTTAAATCCACACCCAAAGTTGTTTGAATGGTTAGTATATTTGACCTTAACGCTAACACTTTAACAAATTTACCACTAGGTGGCGAAAAAAACCCAAATAGTATCTGTTAACAAAGCTAGTACAAGATCCCAAGTACTTGAACAACTAAAATAGCCACCAGGTGTCATCCAAGAGAGGAAAAAAAAAAAAAAAAAAAAAGACTATTCTCCCCACTCAAATACAAAAATTCAGTTTTAAGCACAACCATCTAAGCTCTATCAGAGGTAAATACCCTGTCCATTAACTGTCTAAATAGTTTGCATATTTATACGCTATATAATTTATACAATGCTCTTGACTCCAAGATACTGCCTTTCAACTAAAACCCAACTAAGTAAAATTTAATTTCTTTAAAAAAAACAACAAAAAAACCAGCAAGACCAATGAACGAGCTCAATGTATTGTGACTCATAGTTTCAACCTATCCAAATACACTGCACAAAAGAACCTAAAACGGCTTAGACACAGACAGCCAAGAATCTTCCAAAGTGTATTTGGTTATGTATATATACTTCCAGATTCATATTCTTTTTCCCTATATTTCTCTCCTATAAGCAATTTCATTGATTGCAAAAAAATCTAGATAATTATGCTGTTATGCCTTGAATCCCGGTGTGATTTTACAAAAGCACTGAAATTTGTTACCAAAACGTTCACAGTAAAGAGACAAATGTACCTGTCCTTAAGAAAGATGTATAATGAGAATTATGTTGAACAGTCCAAAGCTGAAAATTAAAATTAAAGCTTTACAGAATTAAGCCCTATTTATATAACAAACCATGCTTTTTAAAAAAACATTCTGCACTTCACTAACTTCTAACAAAGATTTTTCAACGCTGTTGTAAACATTATGTCAGCTAAAACACTATGTCATGCTGCCTTTTATAAGGTGATACTTTTTTAGGCCGAATCCTATTCTTAATCCTCTGGACACAGGGGTTGTAATCATGTCATACCCTGCAAATCTAGCGGTAGGTGGTGTCTCAAAAAAGGAGGTTTTCTTCCTTCTAGGAAGTGGTCAAACCTTGTTTTTCCCTCGCAACTTGATTGTTTTTCGTTGCTATCGAATTAAGAGATGGAAGAGAAAGCAGTTCAGGAGAAAGCAAAATATACTGATTAAACTATACTTGCTTCTCTTACTTGCTCCTTATAGTATTCTCTTTTAAGGTCTCGACCTGACCTCGACTGGGCTTATTTCCACCCTGCCTACAAAGCACTGGTTTTAAAAAGAAAAAATTCCAAGCCAAGAATGCTCTTGTCTATGAACATTATCTCTTCTCTGGTTTTTATTACATTTTCTTTTGAAATTCGTTAGATTATGTTCAACAACCAGCCCTTGCCCAACCGGTTTCTCCCCTTCCCCCATCTCTCTACACACATCACTTTTTCCTCCTCCCATCAGGGCAGTGGGCAAAACACTGCAGTGCTGGGAACGCACGTTTCGGGCCGGTCACTCAGCAGTTTATTCTCACTTGTCTTTGCAAACAGCTCCCCACCCAACCTTGTCCCCCAGTTCCCTCCCTCGGCCATTATCTTTCTACTAGACTGTGCTCAGTAAGGGACTCCAGCTTGCACGTCGAGGGTTTACGGTAGCCTGCCTACCAATAGGAGCCTACAATGAAGAGAAGTCAGGTTCAGCCTCCCGGCAGCCCCAGTGTCTTCTTCCCCTGGCTGTACACCTACTGTACCCGCGAGCGAGCCGGGCGCGGGGCGGGAGGGGGCGCGCAGGGAGGGCGGACAGCAGCCGCGGCGTGCGCATGCGCACTGGGGTTGTTTTTCACAAAGCTGCTCTTAAAGTGAGCTGGCAGCTTCCAGCCGCCCGTCTTTGTAAGGAGACCACTGAGACTAGCAGGATCGCGGAGCAGCAGCCTGTGTGCTGCCCTGAGTTTTTAAGAAATCTCAATGAACTATTTGTAAAGAATCACTGATCCTGCCTGCAAGCTCTTTGCACGGCAAAGACATCGATCAGTGTTAAGTGAAGATCACATTTTATATGTGATCTTGACTTTTTTGTCTTACATTATATTTTTTATAGATTTTGTTATAAACATGGTGCTGGGAAAGGTAAAGAGTTTGACAATAAGCTTTGACTGTCTTAATGACAGCAATGTCCCTGTGTATTCTAGTGGGGATACAGTCTCAGGAAGGGTGAATTTAGAAGTTACTGGGGAAATCAGAGTAAAATCTCTTAAAATTCATGCAAGAGGACATGCGAAAGTACGCTGGACCGAATCGAGAAACGCCGGCTCCAATACTGCCTATACACAGAATTACACTGAAGAAGTAGAATATTTCAACCATAAAGACATCTTAATTGGACACGAAAGAGGTAAGTTTTTTACATTATTCAGAAATTATTAGACCTGTTTTCTTTGGCAAAGTACCTTTTCAATTTTCCTGAATTAATATAATCCTACTCCTACCATAACGTATAGCTGTTTGATAAAGGTTGGAAAGGTGGAAGATTTGAATTCTCCTTGACATTCATCGTGTGTTAAGCCGTAATGCATGCAGGCATCTGCAAAGTGACTGCAAACTGCACTTATTCCACTACCTCTATACCCGGCTTGGTCTGTGCCATACACACTTGCAATCCATTTCCACCTTACGTATAAATTCTGCTTATGTGCGATTCAGTAATTTTACTAATATGTTTTCAAATGAATTGCTAAAAGCTGCAATCCAATATTAGGTTTTTCCCTTGTACTCTGCAACCTTAGATCTTAAAAACTAAGCTTCAGTGAAGAAATGGAGTAACATTTTTAAGTGGGTTAATAGGTGTATTTCATTTTTAATATTGACACGCAAAAGACTTAAGAGAATTGATCGTTGTTCTTTGATAATGGGTTTCTGTGGTTTATTTTGACATATGGTATCAACACCCCACGTGTTTTTTCCTATTCTTTCCAGTTCCTTTAGAAATTTACATCAAGCATTCTCTATTTTAAAGGACAGCACCTATCATTATGATATGTTTAAAGTCAGTTTTAGAAGCCATTTAGGGTCAGAAATTTTCTTTTCCAAGCATCATGCCTAACTTTGGAACGTGCATTCAATGAAACCCGTGCCAGTCAAATGGAATTGAAAAGTATTCGGCTCGTTGGATATGATTTTTGGTTAGAAACTGGAGATGAAGGGTTGTCAAAGGGAGAAGGGGTCCTGAGATTTCAAATCTATTGTTTAAATGGTTACATTGTGGAAATATAGCAGACTCTAAGCTTGTTTTTCTAAGTTTCCACCCTTTGTTAGAAGCGGTTCAATCCTGTTTCGGACCAGTTCTGGGGGGTGGTGAGGAGGGGCGCTTGTTCTGCTCTCAGCAGATTGGTTACACGCGTCAGGTGGTGGCGATGACTTAATTCCTAGCCCAAGAAGAATATAGTGTTAAAACTGGTTATGTAATTTTGTCCTTCTCCTTTTTAATGCAGTATTTAACTCGAATGTTGATGACTTTTCAGAGTAGAGCACATTTTTACCTCCATTTTTAATTAAAAACTACACATCCACGAGGAAGTGCTAATTGAACTAAGGCAAATGTAGAAACGTAGGGTGCTTTGAGTTACAGCATGAATGCATTATTTATAAAATATTAAGATGAAATCAATCTTTAATTGGATTTTCAGTTACACATAGGTAATTTGCATCCTGAAATAATTTTTAGTTAACCTCTCTAAGCAGTGACAGTGATAAGAAATGCAACTGCTTAATGACAGTCCTGGTATTTGTTGAACAGGACACACAAGTTTGTATTTGATCCTTCCTGGACTGGCAGCTTTTTATAAGATGAGTGAGAAGAAACAAAGGTTTTTAAGGAGTTGAGGTTTGCAGTGGGGTAAAAGTACAATAACGACTTATGGGGACAATTTCATTAATTGCGCCACGATTTCATAGTAAAGAACACTACGTGCCCCGCACCCCCACGAGACACCCCTCAACCCCTGCAAGCTAGAACGAGCTTCGCTTGGAATAGTTTCAATGACTTAAAACTGGGACCTCTCAAACTAGCCTGGTAACTGAGACCCCGCCCCGGGCGGCCGGCGATAGGCGGAGCCGGGTTTGTTAGCCTGTTGCTAAGGCGATGCCAGGCTCTGATTGGATTGGGCGCGAGCGGGTGGGGAGAGTGGGCTCGCCGGCTGGGGCGAGGCTTGGAACCGGCGTGCGCCGGTAAAGGTTCCTCCTGAGCTGCGGCCCCCGCCCCTACTCGCATCCCTGCCCGGGCTTCTGGAGGCGCGCGGGGCTCATATCACATACCGTTCTGTTGCCCCTCACCTGGGCCCGCTTGCAGCACCGAAAGGAGCGTCTATAGGTTTCAACAGAGTGGAGAGGAGAAGCTTCCGCCGGCCTTACAGGTGCCGGATGGCCCTGGGCGCAACTTTTTAGCTGCCAGTTCTATTCACGGAGAAATTGGGTGGGCAGCGTTAGCCCGACCCCATTTTCCACGTTTTCGGGTGGAAGTTGTCAGGCAGCTTCTGTAAGCACTTGTCTTGTTAGCTGAAACAGCGTGTTTCCCTTTCTATGCAGTCAGTAGACTGGCTACCTTGATGTGACCCGAGTGGGGAGAGAGCGCCAAGACTGGCCGGGACGGGGAAGGAAAAGTGACACTAACATTGAAAGCGGGGTGAGGTGGGGGCTTCGGCGAGTATTCCTTGCCCACTTGTCATTGTTTCTTTGGGGCTCTTGCACCCCGCGCACCATTCCCCGCCGCCGTCACCGCAACTGTAAAGGTGTCGGGGTGGCCCGAGCCAGATCGAACCGGTCACCGGCCGGGGCGTGTAAAGCGGAAGCGCCGCAGCGTGCTCGCCCCGCCCCACGTCAGCAGGCTAGGCTGCGCGGCCGCGAGCGCGAGCGCCGTGCGACATATGCCGTATGTATAGCGGGGCGCGCGGGCGGCGGCGGCGGCGGCGGCGGCGCGCGGGCGGGCCGGCTGGGATCTGCTCGCGCCGGTTTAGGCCGGTCCTCTCCTGCTCCGGTCTAGTTCTTGATTGACAGCCCGGCACTTGTTTACCACGGCGCGGCCGCCGCCGCTCGCCTCGATGAGACTGCTGAGCTGGCACAAAAAAGGGAGCGAGACGGGAAGAAAGGGAGAGGGAGACAAACTTTGGGCGCTTTCGAGGGGAGCGATTTTAAATGGCCCCCAGCTCGTCAGCGGGATTTCCGTGCTGAAATACCGTAGAGAGGATTTGCACGGGGGGAGAAGAAAATACTACTGAGATAGAAGGGAGTCTTGGTGATTTTTTTTGAATACAAGTTTCCACATATAGGCGCTTTTTTCCTTTTCTCCTGTGGTGGAAGGGAAGCATCACGGTTTTTGTGTGAATTCATTACTTTGGTGAGGGAAAGTTAAATGATAATACCCGTTTCTCTTAGTCTCCTGGTTAATGATAAAGGTTTCTACACCGAGAAAACTGCGCTAGTAGACGTTTATGTAATTAAATTACCCGGTCGGAACGCTTTAGAAAATCATTTTAAGAATCCAGAATACCCTCCCACATTTCGTTATATTTGTTTTGGAGATAAACCTATTTGAGCAAAAGAAATTGGTTGTAAAATAAAGTCATCCCGTTTTTTCTAGCAATGGGAAACAAACCTAGTCTTCATTTTTCAAGGATGTGTGACAGTTGTTTCCCATTAAGCAGGCACCTTTTAAATCTAAGGTATATTTTATATATATGCGAAATTTTAGCTGTTGCTAGGACAGACTGAGATTGTCATAATTTTAGGTTCAGTAAGAATTTTTATTTTTAGCTATGAAACTGACATTAAAATCACTGTTCCTTTTTTTTTTTAATTCCAACATCTATTTGACAGAGTTTTCTAATGGTTTTAGAGCTTTAACATTCACATCTTCTGCATCAAAACTGACATATTTTAAAAGGCTTATATGAACAGTTTTCATTTTATATATAGTCTATTTAGGTAAGTGGATGAAGAGAAAGGTAACATCTTAGTATGAGATTTGAAATCTGGATCTTTTGTTGAGCCTGTATTGTCACACATAGATGCTTTACAGTTTAGGTTGTTTTCCATTGAAAAACCAACTATGGGGTATAAGTATTAATTATCCCCATTCTACAGATGAAGCAACTGAAGACAGGACTTTTATTTTACCCAGAGGAAGTGATGAAGTTGGAATTAGAACTCAGATCTCTCACACTCTAAAGTTTGTGGCCTTAATTACTATGTGAGCATCTTTAAAGTTCTGCCACCAGGAAGAGAGTGTAAAGGTTTAACAAGTTTTTTGTTTTCTTTTTCTGTTTGTTTTAGATGATGATAATTCCGAAGAAGGCTTCAACACTATTCATTCAGGAAGGCATGAATATGCGTTCAGCTTCGAGCTTCCACAGACGTAAGTATTTTGTAACAGGCATTTTTCATAAACATCCATTCTTTTCAAATGAAACATTCTAAATTTAAATATTTTTAGTTTAAAAAAAAAAAACCCTTTTCATTACTGAAACTTGCTAGAGGAAAACATAGAAAAGAAGCTATTTTTTTTAATCTAGAGTGGCAATATTATAGAAAGCAAAGCTCAATTCTTAGTATGCTGTCTCAAGTTTTATATGGTTTTTAAAACTTGAATAGTATTTCATTTAAAGTGAGTGAATTGGAAGGTGCCAGTAAAATAGTAAGCATTTAATACTTAGTTTATCATCAGCATTAGCAGAAAAGGTAGAACATAACAAGTCTCTCATTTAGTAGTTTATAAAAATTCAGTGATCATTTTCTCTACTGATGGTACCCAACAGCAGTAAGCTAAGAAAGTCAAAATAATTAAGAATATCCTCACTTTAGAAGTGATGTGTTTTTTCTGTTATGAATTCATTAGCTTCTGTGCAAAGAGCTATTGAGAAGGTCACTCGAGATATTATGACCTGTACTTAAAAGGAAACATCTGTCAGAGATACCTTAATATAAGGCTTGGAATCTAGTATGAAAGGAAGAAGGAAAGTAGTATATTCTTTTTTTTTTCTTTTTTGCGGTACGCGGGCCTCTCACTGTTGTGGCCTCTCCCGTTGCGGAGCACAGGCTCTGGACGTGCAGGCTCAGTGGCCATGGCTCACGGGCCCAGCCGCTCCACGGCATGTGGGATCCTCCCGGACCGGGGCACGAACCCGTGTCCCCTGCATCGGCAGGCGGACTCTCAACCACTGCGCCACCAGGGAAGCCTGTGTATATTGTTAATGTAATAATAAATCATTAGAGGAAATTATACAAAGAGTAATTTTTGAAAAACATGCCTTAACAGATATTAAAACATGCAAAGTGGCACTTGTACTGTTTGCTCTGAAAGGTAAACTTGCATTACATAAGAACGTCAAGTGCCAAATGTACATAATTCTGTATTTTTTTAAATTCTAGTACTTGTTACATATGGATAGAGTTCATAAAGGGTATTTTTCAGAGTATCCTGTGTATCATATTGCTTAAGAACATGATTTTTAATATAATCCCCTAATTACTTTCTGAGAGAAATATTTTAAGTCTGAATACAATAGGACTAATACATTTGGGCCTGAATATTTTCAAAGCATGGAAGTAATTTAATATATTTTTTAAAAATTCTATCTATAAACCAGTCATTTAAAGTAAACTCTAGAAGACTAGCATAGATCCTGCGTTTTATTTCTCTGCTATACAAGTTAATGCAGAAGTCTAAAATACAAAACAAAAACACCACTACTCCTCATAAAAAGCACTCTACCTTGTAAATAAATGAACCTTGTGCATTTTTCTAATGAAATTATGAAAAAGAGACTAAATTCACTAAAATAAAATCTTCCACAAGTAATAAAATCTGGGAGAGTTGAAAAAGAATTATGATTCTCTTGATACAGGTCAACAGAAAAAATTCTTTTTCTTTTTAAGTCTATAGTATAGTTAGAAAGCATGGCCAAAAAGAGTTAGAACATAAGTAAACTGGGAAATGTAAAAGCATTTTTTTAGAGCTTCAGTGGATTTAATGAAATGTGAAAAACTTTTGAAACTATAACGACTATTCCAGGCCTTTTCTAAATCTTAGTTAGTTACTATAATAAGAGATAATAATAATTCTTAGTTAATGAAAAATGGAACGCCATAGGGAGTCGTTTGGTCTGAGTGTTTAACCAGTGTCCAGAATATCTCAATAGAAATAGTTAAACCATTCTTAACTTTATTTTTAAACTAAAGTCTTGACCTTTTCAAGAATTGTTCATTTCCAGACTTTCGTAATTTTGCCACCAGCATTAAAAGTAGCCTCTTCTTAGTTTAAAGAGATTGTATTCTTCTGGCTTTTTTAACCAAATTTCTGTAATATTTAACAACTTTGTGTTATTATTTGGAAACAGAAGGTTTTTTCCCCAGTGACTTATCCCTTTGGAAATGTAAATTATGCCTTTGATAACTCATTGATGTATAAACTTACAATATATTAACACTTCTATGATGAGCTACTGTATAAATATTAAAAAGAGGTGTAAGATTAATATATTGACCTTTATATTCTGCACAGACCACTTGCTACCTCATTCGAAGGCCGACATGGCAGTGTGCGCTATTGGGTGAAAGCCGAATTGCACAGGCCTTGGCTTCTACCAGTAAAATTAAAGAAGGAATTTACAGTCTTTGAGCATATAGATATCAACACTCCTTCATTACTGGTAAGAACTAACTGAATTCTTCATTTTTTGTTTTTGGCATATAAATATTAAAGAATAATCACCTAAACTACATACACATTCTTTATAATTTTTAAATAGTAACTTCATTTTTGAATTAAATAAATACCACTTTCAAAAAAATAGTTAAGAGCACAGAAATTAATGCAGGATATGCTCACATTTTCTGATACTGTAATAACTTTAAGTAAATTTTTAAAGTAAGACCAGTATTTGGTATGAAATATCTTCCTCAGAAGGTAACAGCAATAACAAAAGAATAGATCTGTTCCCTAAATAATTTTAGTGGAAAAAGAAGAGTAGTATCAATTATTATTATAACAATATCACTTAACTTGAAAATATCATAATCTAAAATTTGTATTATTTATTGCATTATTCCAATATAGGGATAGTTGTCAAATGATGGGGAGATAATTATTTTCATGAAAAAACTTAAATTCTATTTTAAAGGAAATCTTTTTTAATTGTATTTTTTCACAAGATTCAAATTTGATTTCAAAAACTTTACTTGGTTTAAACAAATAATAACATCTTTAAGCAAGTAAAATTAATCTTAAAAATGAGCAGTTTTCTTTTTTTATGTATTGAGTTTTACAGTCTCAGAGAAAGATGTTACCATTTGGGATTATAACCAAGTTGCTTTCCAAACTGCTTTTTTTTTTTTTTTTTTTTTTTTAAAAGCCAGTTTAAATGGAATGTGGAAAGGGGTTTTTTTTTTTTTCTGTTTTTTGGGTTGTTTTTTAATTATTGTGTATGTAAATAGCCTGGGCTAAAACTATGTTTATGAAATATGGTGTTAAACCCTGTACCCTTTTTTCTTTAATTGAATGGAAACTTGTATAAAACAAAAATACTAATATATGTATAAAGACAAAAGTACTAATATAAATCAGAAGCCCACTGGTTAGTGGAAAAGTATATTTGGATACTGAAAAGAAAACAACACTACTTTTAATGTTAAATTCTTCAAGAATTTAAGATTGTATTTTAAAACATTCTATTACTGTCTCAATTCATACATTGATCATTTTCTATAAATTTATTTCTTACAGTCACCCCAAGCAGGCACAAAAGAAAAGACTCTCTGTTGCTGGTTCTGTACCTCAGGCCCAATATCCTTAAGTGCCAAAATTGAAAGGAAGGGCTATACGCCAGGTATGTATGAGGTGGATTCCCACAAAAAATGATCTTTCTTCACTTAGCTCTTGTGTATAAATTTACATTATTTCTACTAAATGAAGACATGATACAGTATTCTTTGTAAAATATCATAAATTGTGCTTATCCAGTTTCCTTTTATAAAT